GACTTACGGGATAAAGGGTTCATTCGACCTAGTATATTCCCCTGGGGTGCGTTAGTGTCGTTTGTTTAGAAGAAAGATGGATCGATGCGTTTGTGCATCGATTACAGAGAGTTAAATAAGAGAACCATAAAGAACAAATACTCTCTGCCTAGAATAGAAGACTTATTCGATCACTAAGAGAAGCAATGATATTTTCTAAGATAGATCTGCGGTCAGGTTATCATTAAATAAAGAGTAAAGAAAAAGACGCATCAAAGACAGCATTTAAGACAAGGTATGATCGCTATAAGTTCGTGGTATGTCATTTAGCCTCACCAATGCTCCAGCTGTGTTAACGGAGTTAATGAACCGAGTGTTCAAGGACTGTCTAGACACTTTTGTGATCGTGCTCATTGATGACATCCTTGTTAGATAAAAGCATGAGGTTTCCTTATTTAGATTTGCATGTTTTAATTAGCCTGAGGTTTCCTTATTTAGATTTACATGTTTTAATTAGTTGATTAAATATCTCCCTTCGACCATGTGACAAACACGTGGAAGGGATTACCAATTTTGTAGGTGGCCATTTTGAAAGAAATGACACAGATTTAGTTGGCCTCTCTTCGGCCATTTTTAGGATAATTAATTATTTAAATAGGTGAATCGTTTGAGAAGAAAATATTACTTCATTTTAAGCAAAGTCAAAATTGCAATTCTCTCTGTTATTTTTCTCCATCGGTGGTATATCATTACGAAAGAGTCAACCTTATCAACTGTCAAGTTGAATAGCTTGAGTGGTTAGAGCGTTGACTTAACAACACACAGGTCTCAAGTTCGAGTGGGCCATGTTGATGCGCGTCAACCTACAGACGCACACAAGGGTTATGTCTCCGCGTTCTGTGCTCCCAGAGATGTTGGCGTCTCTCTCCTCTCTCCACCAAGCGCACCGTGCAATCGACCTGGGAGGGAATTAAAATCCATCAGGTTGGTGTGCAGCGAGTGCCCTTCAGCTACAAAGGCTGTGGGAAGGGGAGGTCATGTGGCTCAATCCGAGAAGGACGAGCCAACTCTCTTCATGGTAAAAAGTGTATACGTCCCCAATTTCGATTCCAAATCCAAGGAAGAGCTCCAGCTGGGCGTAGCAAAGGCGGCATAAGCTGGGGAGCAATTCAACTGAAGATGAGCACCGGGGGGTAAACCAGAAAAATTTGGGTAGAGCCGGATCTAAATTTTTTTTCTTCGTCTTTACTTTACAAACAAAAAAAAAAAAGGGAAATTTATTTAACTTATCATTATACATATATTTATATCAGTTATACATATATTTATATCAGTTATATATATATTTATATGGGCGAACGACGGGAATTGAACCCGCGCATGGTGGATTCACAATCCACTGCCTTGATCCACTTGGCTACATCCGCCCCCCTACCCTATATATAAGTTGCTGCGCACAGACCGAGGCGGAGAATTCACCTCAAAAAGTTTCGGTAAGTACTGTGATGAGTTCGGTATACAATGACAACTAACGGTCGGGATGCCTGGGATCGCCAACCCGAAGCCTCAACAGAAAGACGCCATATGAGGCCTGGTACAACAAAAAGCCAGCTGTACATCACTTCCGAGTGTTCAGCTGCATCGCATACATGAAGGTAGCACATCCCAACCTTGCCAAGCTCAATCCTAGGGGGCTGAAGGTCGTCTTCATCAGCAGCTCGATCCTAGGGGGCTAAAGGTCGTCTTCATCAGCTATGAACCCGGGAGCAAGGCGTACAGACTCTATGATCCTATAGGGGGCGAGCTCATATGTCTCGCAACGTCATCTTCGACGAAAGCACCTTCTGGCAATGGAACAACGTGATCGAGGCAGACCACAACCCAAATCAATTCACGGTGGAGTACCTCATCACCGAGCCGGAAGAAGGAGGAGCCCAGCATCAGAAACCGTCACCGCCGCCAGCAGATGCACCCCTTAAACTAGTGGAATTCGCAACACCACAGATTGCGGATTCGACGCTGAACGCTGATCACGATGATGATTTGGTGGCTAGGTACCGGAGGGATGGACAACCTAGTGGGAGGAGGTGAACCACCTGGACTAGTAGCACGTGAGCTCGAAGAAGTGGCCAAACTACATGCCATCAGTGCAGATGAATCGAACACCTTCGCCAAAGTAGAAAGTTACCCATGCTGGCTGAAGGCAATGCAGGAGGAGATGACATCCATCACTGAGAACAAGACGTGGAGTCTGGAGGAGGTTAGAATCCATCCGCCTTTTGCTGGCAATTGCGGCACATTGCTTTTGGGAGGTCCACCATATGGACGTGAAGTCCGCTTTCCTTAATGAAGAGCTGAAGGAGACCATCTGCGTTCGACAACAACCTGGCTTCCTGGACAACTACAACCCGGGTAAGGTATTACGCCTGCACACACTCTACGGGCTTCAGCAAGCACCACGAGTCTGGAACGCGAAGCTCGACAATACCCTACTATCACTGAAGTTTAAGCGTTGTACCTCTGAGCATGGCATGTACACGCATGGCCACGGCGAGCAGCGACTGATCGTGGGAGTGTATGTCGACAACCTCATAATCACTAGAGGCGACATGGAAGTCCTCGGAAGATTTAAGAGGGAGATGTCAATGAACTTCAAGATGAGCGATCTCGGCGTACTCAGCTACTACCTCGGCATCGAAGTGCAACAAAGTACTGCCGGCATCATCATCTGTCAAAGTGCATACGCAAAGAAGTTGTTGGATACTGCTGGGCTAGCAGACAGTAACCCTACAAGGACGCCAATGGAGGCCCGACTCCAGCTGAGGAAGGATGGCACTATGACGGCAGTCGACTCCACAATTACAGCATTGTCGGGAGTCTGCGCTATCTAGTAAACACTCACCCTGATCTTGCTTATTCCGTTGGATACGTGAGTAGGTTTATGGAAGCACCTAGGGAGAAGCATCTAGTGGCTGTCAAGCGCATCTGCGCTATATAGCCAGAATCAGAGGCTGGGGTGTAAGATACTGCGCAGGGAGAGGAAATGAGAAGCTTAAGCTGTTTGGCTATAGTGATAGTGACATGGCCGGTGACGTTGATGATCGTAAGAGCACCAGCGGGATGATTTACTTCCTCTCGGGCGGCGTGTCTCGATTAAAATCGCGACTTGCTCGAGGTGATTGGGGACGACCTGCAGCATCTTCTTCACGATTTTTGTCTCGCTGATGCTCCCAATGAGAGTGGTGATGCTATTGGCTAGCCCCGTGATCTGCAGTAGCATAGGGGTTCTTGCTTTCGCGCCTGATGGAAGAACTCATAGAAAGAGAAAGCGATCCACCAATGATTTATGTGGACAACAAAGCTACTATCGGAGTTCAAATAATAAGGTAGATATACCACAGGTTTTAGGAGGAGATTGTTAGATAAAAGCCTGAGGTTTCCTTATTTAGATTTACACGTTTTAATTAGTTGATTAAATATCTTCCTTTGACCGTTTGACAAACACGTTGAAGGGATTACCAATTTTGTAGGTGACCATTTTGAAGGAAATGGCACAGATTTAGTTGGCCACTCTCAGGCCATTGTTAGGATAGTTAATTATTTAAATAGGTGAATCGGTTTAGAAGCAAATATTACCTCATTTTAAGCAAAGTCAAAATTACAATTCTCTCTCGGTTATTTTTTCGCATTTTTATTTTCTTCCAACAACTTTCCTCTCTCTTCTCGTCAAACGATTTCCTCTCACACCAATTGTGAAAAGGATTTCCCTTGCTAATTATCCTTGACGATTGTCGAAAAATAACAATCCTAGTGTACTCGAAAACAGACTTGGAACACCAGGAACACCTCTGAAAAGTCCTAGCCACCCTAAGAGAGAACAAGTTGTATGCAAAGTTCTCAAAGTGTGAATTTTGGTTACAATAAGTCTCTTTCCTAGGATACGTGGTGACAAAGGACGGAGTATCCGTAGATCCTACTAAGGTCAAAGCGGTCACGAAGTAGGAACGCCCAACTTCAGTAACATTAGTACAGAGTTTCTTGGGACTAGCGAGATACTGTCGAAGATTCGTGTAGGACTTCGCTAGAATAGCCTCACCTTTGACACAACTAACAAGAAAAGAGGTACCATTTATATGAAATGATGCTTGTTAGACAAGCTTCCAAAACCTAAAAGAGAGATTTGTAACCATCCCGGTACTCACGGTCCCCAAGATCTCAGAAGAGTACGTAATCTATAGTGACGCCTTTAAAGAATGGACTAGGATGTGTGTTAATGCAACACGGTAAAGTTGTTGCATACGCCTCCTGTCAACTAAAAGAATACGAAGATAATTACCCTACCCACGACCTAGAGTTGGCCGCTGTAGTGTTCACGCCGAAAATTTGGTGCCACTACCTGTATGGAGAGAAAATTCAAAGTTTAACCGACCACAAGATTTTAAATATTTCTTCATCCAGAAAGAGTCAAATATGAGACAGAGAAGATGGTTAGAATTGGTGAAGGACTACGATGTAGATATCCAGTCCCACCCTAGAAAAGCAAATGTGGTCGCAGACGCTTTGAGTAGAAAGGCGGCCCACTCTTCGGCCCTCATTACGAGGGAAGTAAGGGTACAAAGATGTTGGGTTTTATGTCCTAAAACTCATAGTTTGTAAACAAAATCATATTCTATTTTTAATAAAGTTATTGTTGTTGTCTATTCATTAAAGATTGTTATTGAATAAAGTGAACTTTACGATCATTAATCTAAATCCAATAAACTAAGAACACTCTGGCTATAGTATCATTACTTGAACTATATGTAAAGACATAAGAGTTGATCAAGTTCAAGTATATAGTCAAAATGATCTATATTATAAGGATAAGGCTGAGTACCATATTCTGGGAACACTATGGATGCGACCCACTTTTGTATATGATATAAACAATGTGATCACTAAAATTATACATGTGGAGACATGTGAGTGGGGGTGTCTTATGCAATGAGTATTGCATAAGATCGGACCATGAAGAAAATCACTCTCACTTTATAATGTCGTTTACTGTTGAGACTGATTTTCTTTTCATTCGATGACCTAGGTAACTCGATCTTAATCCTGAGCTAACCATGAACTCCTGTTTATTCGGAATTATCCTTAGATTTGCATGGGTGAGAGTGGCTCAAGTTCGCAGACTCAATAGGCCTCCCATTTCACGGGTAAGACTGGGTAAATGGCTGGGGACGTGGGGTGCAAGAGAGGATTCACTCCTACCCACTTTTAGGGATAGAAGAGAGGTAGTTCCCTTAAGTACTGACTCCAGGTCTTGAACAAGGGGCCCCACCCTCTCATTGGCCTGAGAGGGATCCAGTTTACTGGTTGGACCACAAACCAATTGTTCATTAGAGGATCAGTGAGACATAAGAAACAATAAGTAACTTTAGGGGTAAAACGGTAAATTGACCCAGCTCTAGTTACAAACAACGTGTGAAGGATCAACTTACTAATCATGGTTATTTCAAATGAACAGAAATATATCTATAGTGAGGGGAGTGCAACTACTAGGCTATAGTGGAATGTCCTAGTAGTTAACAAATGTTGGTTAACAAGGTTAATGAGTTTAACCGGTTAATCTTGGATCGTTGGAGCCCATGATCTATAGGTCTATTACGTCCCTCTGCTAGCTCATATCGAACTAAACCATAGAATAGTGTGACGAGTGAGTTCGAAGTGTTCGAATTCAAATTAGGGAGAATGTGCAACATATATACGATATATTTAACTCCATTTTTGTTTTATTTACGAATTAAACAAAAAGAGAGAATTTGAGATATTTAAATAAGATTTAAATATCTTAATCAAATATGTGTCGAAATTAATTGGGATTAACATTTGAATTAATATTAAATATTAATGAAATAGTTTAATTAATCATTTAATATTACTTTAATTTAAAATTAATAATTCAAATTGATTGTTTAATCAAAATGAAGAAAGTCAAAATGTTGACTTCATTAATGGAAAAATCCATGTTAGTGGAATTTTGAGATGTCAAAATTTGGTTTAACCAAACTTGCATGCTTGCCCAATAAACCCCACAAATTTGAGTGGAATTTTGAGTGTCAAAATTTGGTTAACTCAAGCATGCATGCTTGCCAAATAATCCCAAACATTTGAATGGAATTTTGAGTGTCAAAATTTGGTGATCTCAAATTTGCATGAACATGCAAACATGACTCTATAAATAGAGTGATCATAATACATGAAAGATCTTCTTCTTGGTGAAAAACCTTGAGAAAAATCTCTCACAAACACTCTCTTCATATATACAATATCCCTCCCAAGTTTAGTCACTCACCGGATTCCACAATCTCGTTCTAAGGCCAAAGGATAGTGGAGAAGACACTAGTGGTGGTTTGAAACCGGTTCGTGAGGAAAAAGGAATTTGAACTACAAAAGGTTAATATTCAAACTCATTAAGTTTTAGTACTTATGAACATGCTAGTTATTTACTATAATTGATGTTCTAAAAGTGCCTAAGAATCAAATTATTTCGACATGTGTTATATTAACATCATCAATTGATATCAGAGAAAGTTTTAGGCACTTTATTTACATTAATTTGATCATGATGGGTACCATTTCATGAATGAAATTTTGTGGTTGCTAAAGTGGATGCTTTTGGTTTTGACATTTTTTTATGCTTCTATTTGATACAATTATTGTAATAAGCCTAATGTGTATGGGCTTTAATGAATGAAGAAAGGTCTGTAATCTTTATGGATTCATTAGAGTCCATTTTAGGTTGTAATTGATCGAAAATGGAAGAGATAGCAAGCTGAATCGAAGAAGAAGATGGAAGAGGCGATTCGGGTGTTTTTTCTGCCAGGTCTTGAACAAGGGGCCCCACCCTCTCATTGGCCTGAGAGGGATCCAATTTACTGGTTGGACCACAAACCAATTGTTCATTAGAGGATCAGTGAGACATAAGAAACAAGAAGTAACTTCAGGGGTAAAAGGTAAATTGACCCAGCTCTAGTTACGAACAACCTATGAAGGATCGACTTACTAATCATGGTTATATCAAATGGACAGAAATATATCTATAGTAATGAGTTTAACCGGTTAATCTTGGAACGTTGGAGCCCATGATCTATAGGTCTATTATGTCTCTCTGCTAGCTCATATCAGACTAAACCATAGAACAGTGTGACGAGTGAGTTCGAAGTGTTCGAATTCAAATTAGGGAGAATGCGCTACATATATACGAGTGAAGAAATTTCTTTCTAATGCATTAAGGAGAGAATTTGAGATCCTAGAGATGAGAAAGATGAAAGTATCACAGATTATTTTACAAGAGTGATGATAATCTTCAACAAGATGAGAAGCAATGGAAAAGATATGCTTGACAAGAAGATTGTAGAAAAAATTATGCATACCCTGACTAAAAAATTTACTTATGTTGTAGTATCAATTGAGGAATCTAAAGATACTGATAACATGTCTATTGATGAATTAAAAAGTTCATTGGTGGTGCATGAACAAAATTTTCTAAGATCTAGCATTAATGGAGAGGAGCAAGTTCTAAAAGTTTAATGTCAAACGGAAATAAGTAACAGAGGAAGAGGAACTTACGTGGGCAGAGGACGCAGAAGAGGAAGATCAACTTTCAACAAAGAAACTATTTGAATGTTATAGGTGTCATGACTTAGGTCATTTTCAATATGAATATCCAAAGAAGAATAAGGAATTGAATTATGCAGAGGTAGAAGAAGAGGATGAAATGTTGTTAATGGCTCATATAGAAAGACATGCAACAAAAAGAAGTGATGCTTGGTTCTTAGATTTTAGTTGTTCACACCATATGCGTGGAAGTGAAGGTATGTTTTCAAGCTTAGACAAGTATACCGCTTCTCGATAGGAAATTAATGACTTAAAAGACAGATGGTAAACACACCGTTATGCATCAGGTCCACATACTTTCCATCACCATATGATAAGTAGGAATTCAAACGCAAAAGTATAAAAATATATATTTATATTAAATTATATGCATAAAATTTAAAAAATGGCTGCATAGCACAGTGGATTAGCGTGTTTGACTTCCAATTAGAAGGTCATGGGTTCATAAATTTTTTAGACCATGAATCCTTTGTAAATATGACTGATTTAGGGTCTCGTAGTTGGCCTAGGAGACCAAGTTTTTTCAATACTCTCATCATCCATACCCCTAGACAAGCAAAGAGGAAGCTACATAATGAGACCAAGTTTTTTCAATACTCTCATCATCCATACCCCTAGACAAGCAAAGAGGAAGCTACATAATAATGCCAGTATATGCTTTTAACTTTTTATTATCCTTTTCCGATAAAGAACTCTCAAATCCATAATGTCTTTCAATTATCTAATTTGCTTCAATTGAAAGGGTACAAACATCATTTTTTCAAGTTGTATAGTTGTTAGTAAGTAGTCAAATTTTTAGCGGCCAATATTAAGATTAAAGAGCTTGACGTACTATTGAAAATAATGAAAGCATTCAAAGATGTAAAGACTATTCAATCAATTCTAAAATTTAAAAAAAAAAAAATAGGGATTTGAATTTCTAATTTTATATTTGTTTTTACTCCTACTCCGAGTTTTCTTTGTGCTCTATTAGGTCGAAATCGAGATATTTTTCCATTATGAAGAGTACGGACGCATATACCATGTCATATCATATCGTTCATATCAGAGATATTATTATACACATATGTCATATCCTAACTTTTCAAATTAGACATATAGTTCGCATTTTGCATGTCAATCATATCATATCATTCCTTCAACATATCATATCTTAACATATCATATAAGGGTTGTATTTCAGGCTAGTTAGTCGTTATGCATGTCAATCATATGATATCATTCATATTAGACACATATGCCATATCATAATGTTTTCTTGCTTCCAAACATAACAATTCTCATCATGCACATATCATATCATATCATATATCATAACAGTCACACAACATATCACGAGTCATGCTTTCAAAATATCATATCTTAACATATCATATAAAGGTTGTATTTCATGCTAGTTTGTCGTTTTACATGTCAATCATATCATATCATTCATATTAGACACCTATGCCATATCATAACGTTTTCATGCTTCCAGACCTAACAATTCTCATCATGCGCATATCATATCATATCATATCATATATCATATTACAAGTCATGCCTTCAACATATCATATCATATATCATATCACAAACATATCAATTCACTCAATACAACATAACAATCACATATCATCTCATATCAGTTAGCATATAGCAGCACGAGTATGTGTCATCATACAACACAAAATTATGTGTCATCATACAACACAAAATTGCCACTTACTTCATTGGTCCTAGCCGACATTTTTCCTAACCTGAGAGTATGTTCGCTCCCGGCAGCACGAGCATGTGTCATCATACAACACAAAATTGCCACTTACTTCGTTGGTCCTAGCCGACATTTTCCTAACTTGTATACGCCACTTACTTTGTAGGGCTTAGACGACGTTTTTCCTAACCTGAGAGTATGTTCGCTCCCGTTCCTCTAAACTGCTCCAATTATTGTCGGTTGTACTTTTCTATTAAAATAGTCACATCTCGTAACATAATGAAATGTGGATGTGTGTTGCAGGTTTAGGCTAAGGATTTGTTTGGGGTCGTGGGTGGGAGCAAGCACAATTTCTTTTCGTGTTTTGGTTAGGTTTTGTCATTTTTCCGACTAACATGATAACCAACTACATCACAATATCAGATGATTTACAAGTTTTGTTTTAGAATTAATTAGAGACTTTAGTGAGGATATGTGTTCTCCAAATGAAGGTTTAACATTTTAGCCAATCATAGTGGGAGTCGAACCCACGACCTTCTACATGCTATCATGGAAATCAATGGTAACGTGCATGATCAACGCCAGAGTCATTGAGTAGGGCAATCAAACAAACTATCAAGTGATACATCTCTAACCAACCTCATGCCTAATTCAATGGTTCCATAGAGTTGAAAGGAAAATGGAAGCTTTGCAGACACTATATCAACTACTATCAGACTCCATGCTAACTTGGAAATAACATCAACGGTTTTGCATTTACTTTAATTACTTTTTTCCTAGAAGCTACTCTACCCATTTTTATTGATGAAATAATGCATTTAATAAATAGGAACTATATGAATAAATATCTGATCTTATCCTTACTGTTATAAGTGACCGAATGAGATTTATTTTTATAAAAAACATAATTTTTTCGCGATTGGATAACATAAATTAGTACCCAATAGTTTTCACAAATTTAGTATGCAATATTTAATCATCCACTTTCTTCATATATTTCTACCCAACCTAAAAAAAAAAAGATTCCAACATACAGATTTTAATCAATTGAAATTGTCTATCCAAATCTTAACATTCTATAATGGTTATTACACCTATTTGTATAAATAATTTTAGTTACATCAGTTCAAAACTAAAAGATAAGATTATAATACTTGCACATGGATTTCATTAATATCCAAATCAAATAAAGGAATGAAATAATAATATATTCCATAAAAAAAATTATCACAAGGGGTTATTTGGACTAGTGGTATGATTCTTGCTTAGGGTGTGAAAGGTCCTGAGTTTAATTCTCAAAAATGCCCTAAACTTTTTTCTAAACCTTGTTCATGTTTATCTTCTCTTATTAATTCTCCTTTCCTAATTGAGGTACAAACATGAAATTGTAGGTAGTAATGCAAAATATGATATAATGGCTGATAGATATCATATCTATATCTTGACAATCTATATTTTATTTACATATATTCAAAATGTGTGCTCAACCTGACATTGGAGAATAACTTTTATGGTAGCTCGAGTTATACACCCATATATCATATTTAAATCATGAAACTCTATCAAATACAAAGCTAAAAACAAAGACATAAATCATTTTTAAAATTTAGAGATCTATAAGAAACAAATAAGATACTATTATTTTTTAAAGATCATAGATTTATTACACACAAACCTTACAAATATTTGTGGTCTTATAAGAAAAATTTTGTTTCTTTAGGCAACCTGATCTAAGACGTATTACCTCTTGATTTCTTCATCAAAAGGGCTCAAATATTTCTCTTGACAAATTTGCGTGTAGGCTCAGATTTAATGTTCGAGCTTCAACCTTCTTCCTTTAATGTCAGACCAAATTTAGTGGGCAACTGATGAAATTGAGTTTATTTCCATTTTGAATTTGGTAGTTAGATTTGTTGGGCAACCGATGGGATTGAGTTTATTTCCCTTTTGAATTTGGTAGTTGGATTTGTTGGGCAAAGGATGGAATTGAGTTTATTTTCATTTTGAATTTGGTAGTTGGATTTGATGAGTTGTGTCTCTTCTAAAAGATATTAGGATTAGATTTTGGTTCTTGTCATTAGAACTTAGGCTCTTTAAGTTCTATCATAGCTTTCTAAGTTCTTTTCATGATCTACCCTAAGAACCTTAGCGCTGGGATATGAGGTCTTAACCTATATTTTGATCTAAAAACTTTAGTGCTAAGGTTCATGGTTCTAATTCCAAAAAACTTGGGTCTTGATCTGTATTCTAATTTTTATTCTTGTCTTGTGCTTAGTCTGGTTCTAAGTTCTTTCCTTAGTTCTTCTTTTATTGCATAAGACATTTCCTCTAATATTTACGATATGAGTAAAGAACACGACAATCTATGTCTAAGGCTTCATTCGTTCTAAGAGACACCGTTTGTTCTTACGTCCAAGGTTTCTTGTGTTCCAAGCGACATAGTCTGAACCTGCCTCCATGACTTTATGCATTACCTGCGATACAACCTAAAACCTACACCTAAGGCGTCTCACAATCAAAGCGATATAGTCTGAAACCTGCATCCAACGCTTTTTACGTTTCAAGTGATGTAGTATGTAGACTTATACCAGAGGCTTCATACGTTCTAAGCAGTGTAGTCTGAATACCTACGCAGAAGGCTTCATATGTTCTAAGCACCTAGTCTGAATACCTACACCCAAGGTTTCATACATCGTAAGCGATTTAGTCTGAAACCTACATCCAATACTTTTTACCTTCCAAGCACTGCAGTCTGCAAACCTACATCCAAAATTTGTTACGTTTCAAGTGATGTAGTATGAGTCATGAACATATTGTACCATAGGACGTAAGGACTTAGGTCCTTTATTCTTGAGTGGTACCCAGCATTCTTCTTTTCTTAATTCAAATACACCTTACACTGGTCTTTTCCTTTATTCTTGTCCTTAGAACATTCCATTAGTTTCATGAGTTCTTAGGTTCTTAATTCTCGAGGCTTAAGTCATAAAATACTTTCTTATGGCCTACAAAAGTCTCATAAATTAAGAACTCACCATACTAACCGATCATGATTAGAGTCACAGTCACAAGGATTATTTCCTTTTAAGCCTTAACTTTGATCTAAGTAACTTAAACTCCAATATATAGATCTTTATGTCTTCCTGCATTAACCTTTATTAATGTCTTAAGTTATTTAGAGGGGATGTGAACTTTGAAATATCTAAAGGTAACCTAAAGGCGTTTTAGTCATTTTATCTATAAGTCTTGATTTAGCCTCTAAACATGTTCTAACTATTTTTAAACTTTACATAATCTTTAATCATCATGAAACAAGGTCGATTACAAAATTTCATGTCATTTGGAGGTCATTTAGGTCTTGAACAGAAGGAAACAGTCATGGGGGCATTTTGGTCATTTGCATCATTTCTTGGTTTTGCCAATTATTTTTATCCAATGACTACCAAATTTAATATATGCCCTCAACATGTCATATTATCTTCGGCCTTAAAATTTCATGGACAACAGTGTTGATTTAGTAAACTATTTTTTATGCTACTTGTTTATGAAGAAAAACTCTCGTTCACGACCTTAACTTAAGGTTCTTAGTATTTTTCTTCCATTTTCCCTTAATCCATGCTAAACTTAAGGTTCATACTAAAAATCAAACGATTCCTATACGTATTTCTTAAGAAAAGTTCTAGATGACTTTATACCTCATCATTGGTGTTTGGGACCTCCGTTTTCGAGCTTTCAATATTTGAATGACTCCAAATTTTTTTGACAAACTCTTTAGAGTGATAGTTTCTAGAACCATAAATTTTCTTTTCAAAGAAGGAGTCAGGAAGAGTGTTAAAATTTAGAAAAAAAAAAATAAAGGAGTACTGGATTTTAGGCTTGTGTGGCCGGTTCTGTTGAATCGCCCATGCCATCGTCTTCTTCTTTTGAAAGAAAGAAGATACGTATGAACCATTGTGCTGTTGTTTGAAAATAAATCATCTTAACTCTGTTTTGAGCATTTCTCCCCTCAATTTCATGAAACTTAAAGATAGAATTTTAAGGTAGATCTAAGGACTAACTTCTTACAATTAAGTGTAATGTAGCTCGAGTCATAGCTCATCAAATTTAGATAAAACTATGGTTCTGCGTATGGAGTAAACCCACTGGATTTTCTAATTTGTTGAAATAATCGAGGTACTTTTAGACCATGATTTCTTCACGAAAGTTCGTCCTTATACTTCCCTCGAGCTTAAAAATTCATTTTGGAGGGACAAATCTATGTGTGTGGACTTAATTTTGGATTTCTTACCCGGTCTGCAACTCAACCCATAACGTGAGAAGGAGATTTCTTGAGCAGCTAGATCCTTACAATCTTAGGCCATGACTCGTTCATGAACATTGTCTATCTTAGTCACCTAAAGTTTATGGAATCATCAATTTTTAATGAGAAGGGTTATAGAAAGAAAATTGAACCCAATTCTTACCCAAAAATGAATTTTTAATGAGAAGGGTTATATTGGTCTTTGAGCTCTTCTAAGAAAATGTTCCTTAGAGATTCAAAAATCCAATGGAATGGATTAGAAGTGACGATTTGCGTGTTGCCATGAATTATAAATTCAAGCTTCCTCAAGCTCAAGCGCCTTCAATGGCAGATTGAATTGGGTACATAGGTTGGGTGCATTTTTTGTACTCGATCTTTCTAACATACTTGCTGGTAATCTTATTTATAACGTGTAGAAAAAAGTTTGAATAAAATTGTGGACTAGCTTTCAAATTTAGAAGAAATCCAAGAAAGAGGATAAGACAACCCTAATCCTCAACCCAACGATCTAAGCTTTTGTTGAAGCAATAGCCCTTTAATCAATGAAATTAATACCTTCTCATACAAAATTCAGATCAACCGAGAATGGCTAGAATTAGATTACCAATTAAGATCAAAGATATTTGGAACCTTGTTCTAAATTGAGTCACTCAACAATCGAACTTGATCAATGCTTGATTGAATGGTTTAGATGCAATCTACCACAAGAATTGCATAAAACTTAGAAATGGCAAAAATGATGCTCAAACTTATAAGAGTGAAAGTCTCAATTTGAGAGCTAAATTTCATTAATCAAATCTGCCTTTTATATAATAATTTGTAGGTATTTATAGACTCTCAACATAAAAAAACTATCAACTATTCAAACACCCACTAAATATGCTATTAAAATAAGGATAATGTGTAAAAAATGATCGGGATAGCTCATGTAACGATCCTAAATTTTTACTTAACTTAAAGTTGCGATGCCTTCGTTAGCCTTACAGGGGCACCCTGCCTTTATATGAAAAATGTAGTAGCACAAGGCTTGTGCCATGGTCTCAAAGTTGCGATGCCTTCGTCCTTCCTTTATATGAAAAATGTAGTAGCACAAAGGGTTTCAAAGTTTTGATGCCTCCATCCTACCTTTATATGAAAAATGTAGTAGCGCAAGGGATCTTAGAGTTGTGATGCCTCTGACCTGCCTTTATATGAAAAATGTAGTAGCACAAGGCTTGTGCCACGGTCTCAGAGTTGCAATGTCTCCGTCCCCCTTACAGGGGTGCCTTAAAAAACATTTCTCTTTTCTTATCCTATGCAAGGCATACCTGACGGTGACAAAGCATCGACGTTGGGACCATGGAACGTGTCAAGCCTACATCATAGACTATTATATACATCGTAAGGTAGTCTACAAAATCTAAAACCTAGAGCTTTGATACCAATTATAATGAACCTAAATTATAACTCTTAAAAGAAACATAATTTATGATATAAATCTCGAAAACATTTAAAACGTCCTCTTCTCTAGAAAATACAGTCACGGTCTTACGTGTTTAAATACGAAATACTTAAATTTAGAAAAAATAAACATAAATACATAATAATTTAAAACCATGAAATGCAAAAAAAAACCTATTTTAACATAAGACTATGACTTTAAATATGAGTCTACCTTATTCACTTGTCATAGTCTCTGTTTGTGACCCTATAAAGGGCAATGCAAATGCAAACACTGTTTTAAAAATTTGATTATGTAAAAAATAGTTAAATAAAGATTCGTTTCTTTTGGATAGTCAGAGTATTCTTGAGTATTTAGTTTAACTATTTTGCAAGATTTGTGGTTAGTTTCTATTTCTGGTTATTTGTAAAGCTATAAAGCCAAGTTCAATATTCAATAATATCAATCACTTGTAACTCCAATTGTTTATGTTTTTGTCACAACCTAACAATTGGTATCACAGCCACCCCAAGGCTTTGTAGAGTAGCAATTTTTTAGTGATCATTGGAGTGAGCTGATGGAAAATTTGCTCAGAGTAAAGGGTCTATGGAGTGTGGTAAAAATTGGTTTCTCAGAACCAGAGGAAGGAACAATGTTGACTGAGACACAAAAGGGCCACCTTGATGATGCTAGACTCAAAGATCACCAATTAAAGCACTACCTCTTTCAGACAATTGATCGTACTGTCCTTGAACAAACATTGGATCGCCGCACAGCCAAGATTGTTTGGGATTCAATGAACCAAAAATTTGGTGCAAACCAAAAAGTGAAGAAATTTTTTCCTAATGCATTAAGTACAGAATTTGAGATCCTAGAGATGAGAAGGATGAAAGTATCACAGATTATTTTGCAAGAGTGATGATAATCTCCAACAAGATGAGAAGCAATGGAGAAGATATGTCTGAGAGGAAAATTGTAGAAAAAATTATGCATACCATGACTGAAAAATTCACTTATGTTGTAGTATCCATTGAGGAATCTAAAAATACTGATAACATGTCCATTGATGAATTAAAAATTTCATTGGTAGTGCATGAACAAAATTTTTTAAGATCCAACCTTAATGGAGAAGACCAAGTTCTAATTGTCGAAGGTCGAACAAAAATAAGTAACAGAGGTAGAGGACACGAAAGAGGAAGATCAACTTTCAACAAAGCAACTATTGAATGTTATAGGTGTCATGACTTAGGTCATTTTCAATATGAATATCCAAAGAAGAATAAGGAATTGAATTATGCAGAGCAAGAAGAAGAAGATGAAATGTAGTTAATGACTCATATGGAAAGACATGAAACAAAAAGGAGTGATGCTTAGTTCTTAGATTTTAGTTGCTCACACCATATGCCAGCAAGCGAAGGTATGTTTTCAAGCTTAGACAAACATTTTTCCAACTTGTCAAGCTTGGAAATAATACAAGTATGAAAGTTACGGGAAAGGGTGCAGTAAAATTAACTCTGTGTGGGGTTCGTTACACTATTAGTAATGTGTATTGGGTACCTGAACTCAAAAATAATCTTTTGAGCTTTAAACAACTACATGAAAAGGAGTAGTAATGCTGTTCAAAGATGATGTATGTAGCATTTATGCCCCACAAAAAGAAAAAATAGTAGAGTCAATTATGAGTGCAAATTGGCTGTTTATTTTGCTTACTGAACCATCTACCACAACAAATGAAGGAAGATGCCTCCATGTTTCAATTATGGATCAGTCAACACTTTCATACCATCGTTATGGTCATCTCGACTACAAAGGCTTGTGCACATTGAAACACAAAAACATGGTGAAAGGTTTGCCGCAAATTGTACCTCCAAACACCACCTATGAGGCATGTGTGAAAGGCAAGCAACATTGGACTCCATTTCCAAAAATGGGTAAATGAAGAGCAACGGACAAATTGGGTTTTGTTCATGCAGATTTATGTGGTCCAATTTCACCCGCTTCAAGTGGCCAGAAAAAATACTTTTGGTTTATAAATGATTTTTTAAGGCATGGAGTTATTTTCTTGTAGAGAAATTAGAAACATTTTTTCATTTCAAATGTTTCAAAACAATGATGGAAAAGGAAAATGGAATGCCTTTAAAATGTTTAAGGACAAATAGAGGATGAGAATTCTCAAATGTTTCAAAACAATGATGGAAAAGGAAATTGGAATGCCTATAAAATGTTTAAGGACAAATAGAGGAGGAGAATTCAACAATTTTTGCAAACAACATGGAGTGAAAAGACAATTGACCATAGCCTATACCCCACAACAAAATGGAGTGGCCAAACACAAAAATCGCACTGTTATGAACTTTGAAAGAGTTATGCTGACAGAGAAGAAAGTGCCTAAAATTTTCTTGTCTAAAGCAGTCAGATGGACGATTCACATTTTGATTTGCTCATCCACTCTGGAAGTAAAAAACATGACACAAGAAGAGGCTTGGAACAGAGTGAAACCATTAGTAGATTATTTCAGAGTTTTTGGATGTGTGGGACATGTTCATATTCCAGATGACAAGATAAGAAAACTTGAAAATAAAGTGTAACATGTGTTTTATTTTGAGTGAGCAACGAATCCAAAGGCTATAGAATGTTTGATCCAACTATAAATAAAATTATAGTAAGTCCTAATGCAGCTTTTTAAGAAGATCGTGAATGGGGTTGAAATTTTTTTTAAGGTGAAACAAAATTGGACTGGGGTAATATTGAAATTGATAAGAACACAGCCGAAGAAGAAGAAATTACGAAGGAAACGACTGAACTAGCTGCTGAAACAATTGAATCAGTTGCTAAAAACGAAAAAGAGGAAATCACAGAAGAAACGACTGAACCGGTTGCTGACACAATTGAACCAGTTGCTAAAAACAATTTTTCAGTAGCTATTGCACCATATTTGACAATAAGGGAGACAAGAAATCGACATCTACCTTTATGGTTAGGAGATTATAATTCCGGTGAAGGCTTATTTAAAGAGGCTGAAGAAAATATGACTTTGTTGATAATTTCTGATCTTGTGAATTTTGAGGAAGCTATCAAAACCCCAAAATGGAGATTGGTTATGGATGAAGAAATTGTCTATCTAAATATTAACATTACATAATTGTTATTACACCTATTCCTACAAATAATTTTAGTTGCATTGGGTCAAAACTAAAAGATAGGATTATAATACACATGGATTTTATTAATATCCAAATCAAATAAATGAATGAAATAATAATATATTCAATAAAAAATTTGTTACAAGTGGCCATTTGGTCTAGTGGTATATCATATCTAAGTGTTGAAACTATATCAAATACTAAGCTGAAAACAAAGACACATAAATTATTTTCAACATTTAGAGATCTATAAAAAACAAATAAGATACTATTATTTTTTAAAGTTCATAGATTTATTACAGATGTGGTCCCATGGTTTAGTGGTTAGGACATTGGACTTTGAATCCAATATTCTAAGTTCAAATATCGATGGGACCTTTTCCATATTTCTTTACTTAAATTTTGAACATCTAACCTTTGCTTTAAGCTTTTATAACTTCTCATGGTTAAGTTATACACTTCCAAATTTCGCTAAAAAACATATCTTCTGAATTCAAACCCATAAACTCATGGTTGGGTAGCCAATTCTATAGTTTTACAGGCCTGATTTTCTTCCTAAAATTTCTTCCTTATATTTCCATTTCTTCCTTATATTTCCCTCCAGGTAAAAGATTTGTTTTGGAGCAATGTCTTAGCACATGGTCTTAATTTTGGAATTTGATCATCCGTCTACAACTTATTTGAAAGCAGAATTTTGTTGTGTTAGGCAACCTGATCTAGGACGTATTATGTAGCGCCCGAGTATTAAAAGAAAAAAAGTCACAATAGGGGCAAACTAGTCATCTTGCCCTTATTACTTGACGGATCTGTTTTGGCTGAGGCATAATTTGGAAAAGAGAAAGAAGAGGGGAGAGAAAGAAGAAAGAAGAGGTAAAGAAGATTAGGGTTTTGAGGAAGGAGGAGGAGATTGGATCAGAACCGACGCCGGAGATCCGAGTCTCCAATCTAAACCGTCAATAAGTCCGAGGCAAGGTGCTCTCACGAATCGTCCTTCCTATTTCGTCAAAACGTCCAAGAACTTCAGGTTAGTCCACGAATGTCTATATTGAGAAATCATCAAGATTTTCGTGTGCTAGCAATGTTTTGTGTTGATCCTTGGACTCTTACCCTCAACATCGCTATCTGGTTAAGTTCTGGAGTGAAGGAGGCCAAGATTGGCATTCGAATCAGAGTTTCAAGAAAACGAGATTTTCAGTAAGAACTCGTGTTTTTCTTCGAATTCGAACTCAAATATTAAGATCTGTGATTATCAGAAAAATATAAGAAACTTATTTCAAAGGAGTAGAATATGAGACCTACAAGGTTCATGAAGAAAATTTGTCGAATCGAATTACGGATTGGAAGATAAAAAAATCGAAAGAAAATCGATCGAAACGTGAAGGGACTTGGGAAATGGAAAAGAAAAAAAAAAAAGCAGGAGAGAGGGTGGAGGCCGCCGCGCGTCGGTCGGCCTGCGGAGGAGAGCGGCGGAATCGGTGAACGACACATATCGATCACCGACTGGTGAGGCATGTCCTACACCGGCAGCGGACACGCGTCAGGCGCGCGGATCCGGCCGACCCAACCCGCGCCGCACGCAAAGTGCCCGATCTGGTGCCTCCGACCCACGCTTGCTCAGGAAGCAGCGCGTGGCCACGCGCTTGTAGGAAGTGTGAGTAGTGTCCCTCCAAGGCGCGTGTGACGTGCGTGGGAGCGCGTGAGGCACCATTATTCTTCCCGTTCGATCTCTGTTTGCTTGTTTTTTGCCCCGATTTTGATGCTGACCTTATTAATATGTGAATTAGGACCTATGAAGGAAATTCTAAAATTGTTGGAATCCATTCCGTCAAGAAAACTCGAACTCGGAAAGGCACGCTTCAACCAAGTAAGTAACCATTTGGATTCCCATGAGCAGTACTTGTAGGAACCGCTAGGAACAAGCATGCATGCTACCACCCATTAACTTAGCTAGCCGGACCTAGTATATTAGTATGGAAACTGCGAAAATGAAGTGATTAAGGAAAGCTAGTTATGAAATGTTTATTAAATCTGTTTGATTGAGATTCTGATAAACTATGTATGCATGAGGAGGATGGGAAACTTGTGAAATTTGCGTTCCGGGTAAAGATGGACGTTATCTTCCCGTTGAGCATGTTTAATAATATTGCATGAACTGCTGCGTGTTAACTCTTATGCATGATGATTGCTTGTGTTATCTTTCTTGATGAATAAGAAGAAATTACGAGCTTAGATTAGAGTGCTTGTGACTAAGTGGGCTAGATGAGACCCTAGATTGGGGGACCTCTAGAATACCGTGCAATTAGACCCGCAGAATGATTACCGGCGGATTCAGAGCCTAGATTTCAAAACCCGATAGGTTTGTGAGACCAGGCACGAGAATCCTAGAGATACATGAATCCAAGTCTAAGCCACCAAGTGATATGAACCAAAAGACATCAATCATACAATATACTTCAATGAAGATGTGAAGAAAAGGTTGTCAAAATTATCAAAAGATGTTTCAATTCATGCCACATTGAAGAAGAATGAAGTTTGATTGTTATAAATTTTGGGTGGGTTACAATTTAGAGTTATTGTATTTCATTTATGTATTTTAAGACTTTATTTACTATAGGTTACAATTACATAATGGTTAATTATGGCCATTAGGTATGAATGTTACAACTCTTGGAATGACTTTAGTAGTTTCATTTTGAGGCTATATAAAGCCATGTATGTTGAATGTGTACGAGACTTGAAAAATATAGTAAAAGAAGCATTTGTGCTCTTCTTTAGCCAATGGCTAAGTTTCTTTGCAATTCTATGTAGTTTAGGTTGCACGTAGAATCATTCAAGCTCGACATGATCAATCTTGCTTGTGGAGTGATTCGAATCTCAAGCAAGTGTTCTTACCTTGAGATATTTGATCAACAAGAATCATTCAAGCTAGACATGATCGATCTTGCTTGTGGAGTGATTCGAATCTCAAACAATGTTCTTGCCTTGAGAGATTCGATCAACAAGGTAATCTGAATCTTACTTCCCTTGTAGTGGTTCCTTATCTTATCACCAAGGTCCACCCTAGAAAGAATAATAGGTCACCACGGTAACTGCAGGTAGCCCGCTAGAGTTGAGCAGTGTAGATAGTCTCATCAGAACCTCCACTTCCCTCTCTCCTCCGATACCGTACCGTCGAGACAGAGCTCCGGTACGGTGATCGTTGAGCTTTGCAGATCCGGATAGGGAAGTGTGATAGGTGCCCAGCCATAGTGGTGATAGCTAAGGGGTCTTCTGAACAGGACTCCTGGGCCTAGAAACCTGTCCCCGAGCGGGGAACGTGGAGCCACATAGGATGACTCAGTAGCTGACCGGCACACAGGGGGTCGCACCCCGTTTAGTGGATGTATGGTCCCATGTGAGGGTCGTCAGCTAACCTCCACGGATGATGTTCAGAGAGAGTCACGTATTCAGATCCAGCCATACGATCCCCTCAGATTTACTTATGAGGTCGTGCCTCACCTTAGGACCTTGATCATATCACTGCTTAAGATGGGCAAGCCTCCGAAGATACAGAAAAGAGAGTTGCAGCTTAGATCACTCTCCTTAGGAACCCGAGAAAGACCGTGGTTACCTACCAAGATAAGGATGCGAAAAGAGCCTACAAGTAGGCTGCTTACTGAGTATTTTTATACTCATTCCTTTCTACTTTTTTTTATTCCTTTCTACTTTTTTTTTTTTTCAGGTGAGTGATACCATGGATCGAGGCGGGAATGCATGCTGAATCTTAATGCCACAGAGGAGTGTCCCAGGGCGTCTAGGAGTTTGTGCAAAATTTTGTTTAGATTTGTCATGCACTGTTTTGTAATCCGTTTACATACTTTCATACTTGAACACCTTGTTTTGGATTTTAAACCTTTAACATAATGGCTAAACTTTTTGTAATCTCGTCTTCTCTATTTGGTTTTTTTTTTTACGATTTCATTGCATAGTCTGTTGGTCCCGCCCTCGATTTCGAGATTTAAACCTTGGGCTGTGACATATTAACTCTCGATTTCTTCATCAAAAGCGCTCAACTTAATCTAATAAAGTTAAAGAAAGACTCAGTTTTGAAGAAAATCGATTGTATGTAAGATTTCGATCCTTACCCCAAAATTTTACACGAAAATAATTTTCTTCAATTGGACACACTGTCAGTCTTGTTAACCTTTGTGGTCTTCTATGGAAATATTCCTTGGAGGTGCAAAAATCGAACAAGGTATGTTTCTCTTTGACAAATTTGCGTGTAGGCTCAGATTTAATGTTCGAGCTTCAACCTTCTTCCTTTAATAGCGGACCAAATTTGGAAGCTGTGTTTGAGACACCTTCAACACTTTATTTCATCACCAAACTTTTGGAGAATCTCATTAGAAGGTGTAGAAGCAAGTTGGAAGAAAAATGGTTGACTATGGCTCTCAAATTTGTAAGAAATCCGAGATTTAGAAACCAAAAATCTATGAGGCTATAACGACTCACAGTTGAAGGCTCGACTTAGCTCGATTCTTGCTCCAAACGAAAATCCCTACTTCAGGCTTTATAAAGGGAGCTTAAACCGACATTAAAACTTCTAGATTGTAATGAATTTGAGATTGAGTTTTATAAAATTTCTACCATAAATATCTTCTCCGATTAGTGGGCAACTGATCTCTATTTTGAATTTACGCTAAGTTTGAGAATGACCAAGGTGTGGTGGTTGTGAGCTGATTTAAAGTTATTGAGCCATGATTGAATAAAACGTTAGGATCATAGTCAAAGTTCTATAAGTATTTATGGAGATTGACTGTCGTATGAGATTTTCGAGATGTCTTAAAGTTTCGAAACCATTCGAGTGTTGGAGCCACCATGGATTTTTCCTACCCATACAAAGGTGTTTGAGAGGTAATACCATATTAAATTTCAAGGTTCTTATTTAAAACTGGATTTTTAAATATTCTAAGTTTTATTACCGGTAAGAATGTTTATGCACTCTTATTAGGAAGGTTTATGCACCAGGATTGTAGGAGAAAAATAGTCAATGATCGGATACTTTAGCAAGATTTGGAGTTGGTGACTTAAAAGATAAAGTAACACATAAAGACTAATCAAGTCATGATCTAGTTAAAGGAAGGAAACAAGTCACCTCGAAGAAAGTAGGAAGGTTTGAATTAAGGGTGAATGTTATATCTAAGTTATTCCAACATTAATATCAACACGAGATCTGAGCTTTGATTCTACTTGAAATTTTTAAGATTATGGCCAGGACAATTTAGTAGAGTTGAGGTAGACCGAGCCATAGGCACATGAGTTACTAAGTCGAGACTTCACACTCCTTAGCATTTGTGCTAGAGAGTTCAATAGCACTGATCATTAAGAGGAAAGAATTGGCTCACATGACGATATATTGAACATTAAAAGCTAATCTAGATAGTGATTAAAACGAAAAACACTCATTCATGTAGAAACAAGGGTTCCCTCAAGCATACGAACCAAGAAGACAAGGTTAAAAGTTTTTCTCTGAGTTCGACATAGTTGTGTGAGTTAGAGTGATGGTGTTGGGCTCACTAAATTTTCACTGCTTAAATACTTTTCATGCAAGGATATTCAAGGAGGTTTTATAGACCTGCTTCATAATAGTATTCATGTCGGTAATCGGAGGCTAATCAAAGACAAAAAGGATAACAAGATGAGCCCTTAAGCAAACTTGATACCTCTATATAGTGAGTGTTATACCAAACTCTCCGATTAAGAGTCTTAGTTGAATAAAATATTTTCTTTAGACATTGAATATTATAGAATGTGGTCTAGTGAACCATTTTAAATGAGGAACAAATCATAGTTTGTCTAGACTTATTCGGAGATATAAAGTTGTAGGTTCCCTCCCTTTGACAATGTATAAGGTTTGTTCAAAATTTTGAGTTTGACTCAATCAATACATGAAGCACAACTTATACTTACCATGAGTTAGCAGAAGAGCTTTGGAGGGTTAAAGAATTTGCTAACCTCAGTTACAGTATACGGATGTGCTATATGATATACGAAGGTTAGTAAAGTTTAATGATGTTATGAAGAGATAACTAGTTAGAGTACTAAGGCAACTGAAAAAGTAAGTATCCTACCTCATATTTACTAAATTAGTGATTCATAGTGAGTGAATCTCACGTTGGTTAAGTTCTTCAACGTGGTAGGTCACGTGCAGAGTTGTTAAAGAATATGTTCAAACAATTGGTTAATTAATTTGATGGGTACTAAAAGGTTCAACAGCTTGAGAGATTATGTCATGAAATTCATTCTAGGTTTACATAAGATAACAAAAGGTCACACTGCCATTCGAGTAATGGTGGGTTGTTGCACTCACAAACTTACACATGTTACTTTGGATAAAGTCTCGACCCTATGGGGAATAGGCGAAACTTTTATCGTGTTTAAAAACTATGTTATTTTTATTTTCTTGTTTAAAATTATATATTAATTACGACATGCATGTAATGACGTCTCTAATTAAGGTAACAAAATTAAGGGTGTTATAGTTGGTATTAGAGCCAGACATCGGGCGGTGTGCCAGCAAGGGCAGATGATAGTGAATGCTGGAATGACCATGGAAGTTAAGATAGGAAATTAGTATGCATTGATTATCATTTAGTAGTTGCTAGATGGATCGATCCCACATCGGTTGGAGAGGGGAATGAAGCATTCTTTATAAGGGTGTGGAAACATCTCCCTAAGAGACGCGTTTTAAAACCTTGAGAGGAAGCCCGGAAGAAAAAGCTCAAAGAGGACAATATCTGTTAGTGGTGGACTTGAGCTATTACAATATTAGTCTCGAGGTATTGCACAGATTCAAAACCACTAGAAGTAAAATTATCGTTTCGAAATCATTTCAGCAAGTGAAATTCTAAATTCCCTTTTCGTCCAAATGACACTAATTTCATTACAAATCTCTTAATTGTGCTAGAAAAGAAATACTAAAATGATCTATATGTTCTCAGAAATTACACAATGAATCTATCATCAAAAGGAGTCCAAAACTGATCATAACTTGCCATAATTTGGTTAGTAGCCCGACAAAAACAAAAAGGAGTTTAATTGATATTATCGAGATGATAGATTAGAGGTTGAATTGGACAATGAGGAGCATATTTAGGTTGGTACAAAGAATAAATAGTGACTCTAGCCTAGGCTAAGCATGTAATTGACTTAGTGTTGGTGTAAGAAGAATTACAAGATGTATGATGACGAATGCCCCGTAGCTCCTGCACGCATCATAATGTTATGTTATGCTTATGTATGCTATGTGATAACGTATAATGTTATGTTATGTATGTATGTGATGTTCTATTATGCCATGATATGAATGAAATGAAAAACTATGCATGTCATGTTTTGCCATGTGCAGTCATGTTATAGATTATATGATGATGCAATATGAAAGTCATGATGATTACTATGCATTCGTGACTCATATGTGTGCTATGACATGGATGAAAGGAAGAGCGAAATGATTTTGATTTTATGCTTTGACTTTAATCCATGGGAACCTCATGCATTTATATATGTCATGTACATTAGGATACTTTCCTGTTATGTTATGTTATGTTAGTACGAACACATACCTTTTATATTTATGTTCATCATGATATCATGCGACTCTTTTCCTTTTGTGGCGTTCGACGACGCGTTAGTGTGTTTAACCCGACCAAGTTAGACCCAAGGGTACATATAGGATCCCGCTTGGTGGATTCATGTGCGTGGGTCATGCATGGGGAAGTACCACATATCCAACCCTACACAGATATGTATAAAGCTCAAGACTATGCTATGTTGTTTTAAAAGATATGTCTTATCATGTTATATGTGTGTGTTTTTATTACTCAACCACAACAATGAGATTACTTACTGAATATTTTTAAAAATACTCGAAGTCATGGGCTACTCTTACCTTTTAGGTAAAGGTAAAATCCCTTCAATAAAATTTGAAAATAGAGCTATTTCAATATATTTTTTAATTTTCATCAATGGGTTGATGAGTTTTAGGGTCATGTAATCTTTGAACCGTGTTTAGATCATTTTGGGCATCATAATCAAATGTCGTGTGAGACAGAAGTGACAGTTGTGAATCGCTCCGAAGAAGAAAACAGATTGCATTGAAAAATTCCATTGGAGTTCGCATTCTCTCCTTCCTTCGATTTATGTTATGCAATCCCTTCCCAACTCAACACGTTGCGATCAACTTTTCGTTCTGTCAACGATGAAGTTGCCAACGATGCTATTTTTCTTTTCTTTTCTTTTTTTTTTTTTGGGTAATTTGGTGCTATTCGATTAGCGTTTATCTACCGTTAAAAAAAATAATAGGTGATACTGTTTCCTTTTTTGTTCATTTTCCTTTTTAATGAGATTACAGGAGAAAAATGTTTTCAGGGTATGAGTAGCATGAGGGATCTTTCACTTGGTTTCTTACGCAACTATATTTTTGTAATCTTCTCTATATTATGGTTGTTATGCATTAATATGTTTT